AGAAACTGCGACTAGAACCCAGGAAGGCTAAATCTCGGTCCAGGATTTTTTGTCTCCACCAAACTAATTTTCCTTCCCAAAGATAAAGTAAGTAAAGTCCCTAACTCTGCTACAAGGTCAATGCAATTGACAAGGTTTTGGTGAACCAATTTCTTATAAACGAGACCTGCCTAAGGTCGGGCTGGGGAAATCCTAGCTCCCACCATAGTGGGTGAAGTGGTCGAGGCGGAAGGCTGTGTCCGATTTTTACTGGCAGGCCTATGCCTGATGACAACATGTCCTAACAATTCACTGATAAAGAACCGGCGTTTGGAGCGTTTGGAGTAGGGTGAAATGGAGGTCATCGCTTTCCAACACTGCCCTTTCCTTAGAGAAGGAGGCCCTTTCTTGATATTTCCACCTCTGCCAAGTCCCTCCCTAAATGGACACCCTCTAGAAAAGCTGCTCCTGAACAACCTTCTGACAAGGCCTTCTGGTTGTCTGTTAAATTACAAAAGGTTGCAGGTCATAAACAAGTGCCCACAGTGAAGTGGGGGCAAGTATAAAAATAAACTGAAGGCTTGCATTAAAGTAGCTTGGGCGTGAACAGAGTTTACAAATACAGAAACACGTAAGAAGATGTTTGTGTCAAATTGTCACACTAATAGCTTTCATCTAGTCAAAATTCTTGCTAGCTAAGTGGGTCAAGTGTGGGGACAGAGGAAGGGAGAAATGTGAGGGGGTTAATGTGGTGTTTTGTGTTTTATTCAGTTTAAACTCAGAGGAAGAGAGATGCATTACAGCTCTAAAGAAAATTAGTTTAATTATGATGGCAACTATGTAAAAATATGTTATGTATGGGGACAGGGACTTGATGTAAAATGCAAAAATAAAAATAATTGTGTTAAGAGAAGTAGGATTATCTATGATTTCCTCCCGACCCCTTAATACTGTTCAACATTTTCAATTAAATGCTTTTTTCAAATTTTGTTTCTTGGCTCTCTAGTTAACCTAATATTGTAGAATCACAATTCCCCAAAATTCCTGCTTGCTGTCCATCACAGAAGTCTTTAGAACATACGTCCATCACAGCAGTGTTTAGAGCAGCAAAACACTGGACTGTGTTTTAGAGGACTGCTAAAATAGTCCAGCCATAACAATGGAAAACTACAGAGCCATTAAAAAGGAAGGCACAGACCTGAATGTGTGGGGATGGAACCATTGCTGACAGTAAGTGAACAAAGCCAGGTATAAGATAATGAGTCTTGCATGCTCTTATTTGTGTTTAAATATGCATATATAAATATGTAAGTGCAAACATGTACCTCTCCACAGAAAATTTCTGGAAGGATACCGAAGAAAGCTGGGAATGGTTACCTCTATCTGGAGAAGGGGACTGAGGGTCTGAGGTGAGTAGCAGATTCGCTTTTCATGATATAAACTGCTATATTATTTGGAAAAAAGATAGTGTATATATATATTGCTTTTTAAAAATATATCAGTGTCACTTTTAAATTTTATAATAATGAGTCCTGTTAACTTTCTATGCAATGTTCTAAGGGTATTCTTCCTAAGTATTTTTAAGATAAATAAAAAAAACAAACTCGTTGCTGTCGAGTTGATTCCAACTCATAGCGACCTTATATAGAGGAATCAAAAGTCCTATTCATATTCCCATACTCAGAAAACAGACAATCTGATTGTGACAAGTTGTCAAAATGTGGAGGCAATGTGTGAAAAAACTAAATATGCTCATCTTTTAGAGGGAGATGTACCGAGATGTAAGTGTGGCTGAAAAACTGGGTCAGCCTCCCACCAGGCCTTCCCAAATAAGACATCAAGGAAACGAGCTGTTCACTCTTCTCTTCCTGGAGGGCCCAGGGCTACTCCACATCACTCCACACCCAAAGAACCATCTCGAAGCCCTTGGAATCATGTTATCTCCTAAATAACCTGTACAGTGTTTGACCCAAACCCAAACCATCCCCAGGTCTCTCTGGGCCCACATCAGTATTCTAGAGCTTCGTGGGACCAAAGCGGTATGCCTGGATCCAGAAGACCAACTAGAACAACGGAGGTCACTTAAACATCTTCTAGCCTCCATGCATGGGTCCTGCCGCAGAATTCACTGCATGGCTTGCACTTTTATATCCTATTTTTTTTTTTTTTTGGTAGCTTAAAACTTTTAACAGTTTATTATTACTATAATAAACAACAAACTATAACAAATTATTATTTCTCACATTTCTGTGGGTTAACTGAATAGTGTTTGTTCTTGGGATATCAGCTGCAGTCTCTCATTTGGTGGCATCCAGCTGGAAGCTGGGCTGGGCTGGGCTGGAAGGTCCAAGAAGTCCCCTCTGACATGTCTGTGACTTTGGTGCTGTCAGCAGGTGCCTCAGTTCTTTTCCCTACAGCCTTTTTCCATGTGGTGTCTCATCCTCCATGTTCTGTACACATGGCCTCTCTCTCCATAAGGATAGCCTGGGCTCTAGTATAACATGGCAGCTGGGTTACAAAAGAGCAAAAGCAAAAATGCCAGGCTAGTCCTCAAAGTAACCCAATGTCCATTACCTCCTATTGATCATAACCTAAAAACCTGTTGCCGTCGAGTTGATTCCGACTCAAAGCCACCGTACAGGACAGAGTAGAACGGCCCCATAGAGTTTTCAAGGAGCACCTGATGGATTCGAACTGCTGACCTTTTGTTTAGCAGACGTAGCTCTCAACCACCACACCACCAGGGTTTCAAAAGCCAGCCCAGATTCAAGGGGAAGGGAAATAGGTTCCACCTCTTGATGGGAGGAGTGGCATACATGGGGTGGGGTGGTGGTGGTGGAATTATTGGCAACCATCGTTGGGGGCTATCTACCATAGTCTCTTTTCCTTCCTTCCTTCCATTCTTTTTCTTTTAAATGTCTTTTAGGACATTGACATTCTGACAAATTCAGGCCAGTTGTCCATTAGAATCTGGGTTTGTCTAATTATTTTCTCTTAATTAGATTCAGATTAAGCATTTTTGGCAATAATGCTACCTCGATAACATTATGCACTTTCTTAGGAAGCACAAGTGTCAGTTTCTGTCATTGTTCCAAAACCAAACCCATTGCCATTGAGTTGGGTAAGGTGTTGTCCTGACTACTTTTTTTTTAAAATTTTATTGTTGTACTTTAAGTGAAAGTTTACAATTCAAGTGAGTCTCTCATACAAAAATTTATACATACATTGTTATGTGACCCTAATTGCTCTCCCTATACTGTGACAGCACACTGTTCCTTTCCGCCTGACTTCCCGTGTCCGTTCAAACAGCTCCTAACCCCCTCTGCCTTCTCATCTCGCCTCCGGACAGAAGCTGCCCATTTAGTCTCATGTATCTGCTTGAGCTAAGAGGCACACTCTTCACGAGTATCATTTTATGTCCCATAGTCCAGTATAATCTGTCTGAAGAGTTGGCCCTGGGAATGCTGACCACTTTTTTAAAGGGCACATTACTTTAGCCTTCAAAACTTTTTTGCTTTCACATATTTCAGGTTCGAATGAGAAGATGTTTCAGTATAAATTCATGAGATTTTGCCATCCCCCCAGGCGCCTCAGCCTAAAGAATATTCACAGTTAGACCAATGGAGAAACCAGGAGAGTGGACAAAGTAGCCTCTCTTACATGATGTGATGACAGGGATGAGAAGGCACAGGAGTCTGGACCCCCCACCCCCACCCCAAGGTAAAAACCTCTGGCTTTGTACTCTAGAGCCAAATGATGGCAGGTTTGGACACTCAGAGGAATAAAAAAACAAAAACCAAACCCACTGCCGCTGAGTTGATTCCAACTCATAGCGACCCTACAGTTGGTGGAAATACGCTTTGATGGGAAGATGGTAGAAGAGATTGCCGGGTGCTAGGCAGTCAGGGAAGTTAGTGGACAGTTGACAAACAAGGGCACAACTGTGGGACAGCCCCAACTTAGTCTGCCTTGATTTTTCTCCAAATACGCTATACCAAAGAACTTAAAAGGGAAACATTTTCTTGGTTAAGTTAAAAATCAATTGCGTTCAACATATTTCCTCATAATTTCTGATACAGATGAAGAACTTGTTCATGAAATTCCTTATCACTGTCATGCATACAAAGCCAGCTGTTGCCTATTTAGAGTTTTTATTTCATTTGCAAGGTATCCAGGCCTTTTCTCTTCTATTTCTCTGATCTTTGTTCCATTTTATAGCTAACTAGTACCTACAGAGTAGTGCAGGGGAAGAAAGAAAGCCCATTTATAAACCATTCTGGTATATGCTGCTTTTAGTATTGAAACCAGTGGCTAAAATGATATGTTATTTTGATTAGTTATGCTTTGTCCCATGCTACAAATAAACCAAAATTGGTTGTACTTTTGGAAAGTAAAATCTCTTATCTGCCTCCTCTCTGTTTAAGTCAAGTGACCGCAATGCTTTTCACCAGTAGGCCTCTTTACTGAACAATCTAGAGCAGGGCACAGTTGAATGTAAGTTGGAGAGAATTTCCACTATGTCTAACACTGCCCCAAAAGAATCAGTAAATTGAGCTTTGTCTTAAATACAAGTAGTTTCTCTGGCATCACAGGCCTTTTCTCACAGGATTTATCTTTAAATATTTCATCATCTTGATGATCTTTCCCCCAGATTTTCCGTATCACTCTCAAAATCTGAAGCTCCACACTGGAATGCAGTCTGGCACAGGCTGTGACAAAGCCTGGTGTGGGACTACCTCCCTCCCGGTTTCTATGGGATCTTTCCTCTGTAGATGCTGGCATTCCAGCAGCTATCCTTCATAGGCTGCAGTGCCAGCCTACAGCACAGCTGCTGATTCATGCTCACTTTGGGATCTGCTAGGAGTCTGGCTCTTTTTCTGCTCTTCAGCCACAACAGCCACCACCCACCTCACGCAGCATGCCACCCATCACATTCTGGGTACTCAGCTCTGACCTGGCGAGAAGTCTCATACAGGTCTGCGTTTCTTCACCCGTCCCTACCCCCCACCCCAGGAGCCCACCTGGAAGATGTCGTTGGCACACTTGCGACACAGGTTGTGTTGGCAGGGCAGGATCACCACCGGTTTGGAGAACATCTCCAGGCAGATGGGGCAGATGAGCTGCTTTTCCAGGTTGTCCATGCTGTGTGCATCCCCTAGCAGCGGCTTGAAACCCACTGCGAAGTTCATCCCCTCAGCGATTGTGCCTGCCCTGGCCTTGGCCCTGGTCCTGGCCTTCTCTCACTGCCTCTGGACCCTTCCTCGTTTAGACAGGCTGTGGATTCTTATGTTCCCTTCTGTTGCTCACTCTTGAAATAACTCTGCTATCTCTCCTGTCCTTCCTCTAACAACTCGCCTCGTCCTTAGATGGCTGTCTCCAGACACTTCTGTCTCGCTCTATTCTCTGCTCTGTGCCCTAGCCAGGCACAAGTAGCTTAATCTATCCCTCCCTCTGTCCCTGGAAAATTCTCCTTTTGTTCCCCAAACGACTCTCTCTCGTTCACTCCGTGGGCAGCACTGTTTGTCCCTCACTCTCCATAGAGATTAATTATAACATGGGGGTGGGGAGGCAAGGGGCATCTGCATGTCATTCCAACTCCCAATTTAGCACATGTAAGGCGAGCCACAGCTGTCATTGAGTAAGTGACCCTGACTCACTCTAGACTAGGTGACTCTCTTGAGCAACAGCAGGGGGTGAGCTTCACTGTTTATGGTGAAAGGTGGGCCAACAAAAGTGTCAGTCTCCCATTTGCTTCCATTCAGAAGGCCCCAGTGAGCCCCTGACCCCATGCTCTGGCTTGGGCTCTTATTCCAGGGCAGTGACAAAGAATTCTAAATCAGCCTGTGTGACAGGCACTATGCAAGGCTCAGGTGGGAGGAAAACTCTTGCCAGACCTACTCAGTGACAGTTTCTTCCTCCTCCGCTGGCTTAACCAGTGACTCTGGCCCTCCTCCTCGAGACCCTTGATTCAGAACAGGGGCACCAGAGACTAGAGAGACACCCTCATGTCTAACACTTCCGGTTCATTTTGTCCTTGCCCAGCCTTTTCTCATACCACCCTAGGAAAAGGAGCTCAAGAGGTTAGAAGCGGCTGTTGTGCCAGTGCCTGGAACGCCTGGACGAGAATGCCCGTCAGTGTGTAAGATTCTGGTCCATGACTATATCACGGGAACCACGCTGAGGCCCTTTAGCTTTGTTAGGAAATCGGGAGAAGCTGAGCTGGACAAAAAGGACCTGAATGCCAAGGACCTATTTTGGGCACCAAGGGAATCAGCCTCCAGGGAAATTTTAGAGCACTGACAAACTACATAATCACCAGGCTCCAGGAAGCTTCTGCCCCAACCCCACAGTTGTCCTGGACTCTTCCTCTCCAAGCCAGGCTGGTCCCAGGTTTGAGCACTGGCCCCCTTTTTCTTCTACAGGCCTTGTTCTTTAACCCAGGTATGATTTGTCTTTTTTTTTTCTCCCCCCCCCCCCAACATATGCACTGGGATTGGACAAAAGCTCTTTATTTACTGACATTTCTTAGCCCTTCTCTCAGTCAGGGGAGAGAAATTTGAAGAGTTACTAAGCTCTGACCTGGGTGTATGGGGAATAAATGGTGTGGGGGAAATACCAAACAGGCAGAACAATGAGGCACGTGTGGGGAAAGGCTCTATCAGTCCTTTCCCTATCACGTCTCATGCCCTTGTTTTAAGAATAAAATATTTGGTGATCAGCTTGCATAAGATGTGGTAAAAAGGATAGAGGCAAGCAGGCACTGATGTGTAAACTCCCCTCAACCCATAGGACCAATGTTAATGGTTGCTGTGCTGGTAGCTGCAGTTCAGGGAGAAACCAAAGGTGGGACGACTACTCCTGAGCCTCACATGCACTCATACATCTCCTGAGTTGACACATGTGGCATGGAATGGGGCTGGCAATACCAAGGGCATGGGCACCAGAAGAAGGTGAGACTAGTCCCAGAAAAGTGTAGTGACTTAAGAATGAAGCTGACAGGAGTTCCTGGTACACAGAGTTGCAAGAAAGGAGGGTTAGCTGGTGCAGCAGCGCCAGGGATGGGATCCACCCTGCCCAGTCATCAGGATCTTGGTGGAGATATCACAAGTGGCTCAGGGATGCTACCAGCGGACATTGGCTCAAATTCCAAGGAAGGCACAGGTAAAAGAATCTTCAGGAAAAGTCTGCCACCACAGCCTGAGACCTCATGAGGGTAGGGATGAGAGGGCTGCTTTCTGACAGATTGAAATTGGTACTGGAGCTAAAAAGAAGAGTAGCTGGGCAACCCTGTATGGCCAGGATTGGTGGTACTATCAAGAGCAGAGATGGTGTCCTCACTGGGATGGATGGCATCAATGCTTCTGAACTTGGGATTCTTACAAGAAGAGGGGTCAAATCAGATTCAGTGTCAGGACAAGGCTACTTGCTCCTCTCTTCACTGTGTCAGTGGACTGGGCAACAAAAGGCACCCTCACTGGGTCAGCACCTATGGGCAGAAGATGTTGGCATCTTACTAACCAGAAGGAATGGTCACCCTGAATTTAAAGCAAACTCCCTATGAGTAAGAATATGTCCCTTTCTTATCCTTCAATTATTGTTGCCTTTCAGTTTTCATACCTTACTCTTCTGCATCTTTTAATAATCATCGTCATGGACAGAATCTCGACCTCTTCTAAAATTACTCTGGGTTGCTATAATGGAATTTGCAGAACAAATATATATAAACATTTAGTAACAATTTTTTAGTCTACTGGTGAGAAAATAAGGAGCCCCGATAGTGCAGTGGTTAAGCGCTTGGCTGCTAAAACCGAAAGGTCGGCAGTTTGAACCCACCAGCCTCTCTGCAGGAGAAAGATGTGGCAGTCTACTTCCAAAAAGATTACAGCCTTGGAAACCCTATGGGGCAGTTCCACTCTGTCCTATAGGGTCGCTATGAGCTGTAATCCACTTGACCGCAAGGGGTTTGGTTTGGTTGGAGATGAGAAAGTCATTACTTTGCAGTTACACATTAGCATCACTAGGTGGCAATGTGTGTGAACTTCAGTGAACCCACAGTTTTAAAGTTTACTTGGGGTGGAAATAATCTCAAACACTTCATTCTCCTTTTGAATAAATGCAGTAAGCCGCAGCCTCTAACTTGTTTTCAATTACTGCCTTTTCTAGGCATACTCTCCCACCCCATTTCTAAGCTTAACAGTCATGAGAGGCCAACAGTACATTCAAGCTCTCAGTTTGGGGCATAAGCCCTTCAGAAACAGATCTTATCCACTTCTTTTTCTTCATTTACTTAGGGGTTCACAGTTTCACAGGGATTTCTACCCCCATATATTTCTTTCATTCTTAATCCAGATTTATGTTGTTGTTGTTGCTAGGTGCCATTGAGTTGATTCGATTCATAGCGACCTCATATAACAGAGTAGAATTGCTCTATAGGTTTTCTAGGCTGTAATCTTTACGGAAGCAGATCACCAGTTCTTTCTCCTGCACAGCTACTGAGTGGGTTCAAACTGCCAACCTTTCGAGCGCTTAATCATTGTGCTACCAGGGCTCCTCAGATCTTACCTCAGTCCATGCCTGTTCTTCTCACCTGTTCTCGAAGGCTGATTCCGGACATTCTGTTGATTGCTTCTCTTAGCTGTCTCCTCAGACGGTGGCTTAAGTGCTCCACAGCAAAAGCAACAGCAGCAACAGAAACAGCAACAAGTGAGCAGGCAACATAGGAGGACAAGTGTCTACAAGGCAGGAGGGAATGGTCTCAGTCCAGCAGTCCCTTCTATATTACCATTCAAGCTCCCCTCCCTGAATTCTCCTAGCACCCAGAAAATGAGACAACAGATGCATCTGTCTTAGGAGAAGAGGGTCAACTGGCCCTCCTTCCTTGGTCTTAAGGGACTAGAAAGAATTGTGTACCTTGAACCAACAACTATTCACTATAAAATAGTATCTGACGCCTTCTTCGCCAAAGTGATCGTATACATATATTCCCAATGAGCCATGCCGGTTGTAGATTTTCCGCTTCGTAGGGTCACTCAGTATGGCGTGGGCTGTGTTGATCTCTTTGAATATTTCTGCTGCTTGAGGATCTCCTGGATTCTTGTCTGGATGATACTTCAAAGCCAGTTTCCTACCCAGGCAATATCCATAAAGAAGGGTGGAGAAGGGATGCGGGATGGCTGGGGAGGGGAGGTTAGGAAGAATTACAGGACAGGCCTCTAGATAGTACAGAAGGAATGCATGAGATGTAGTACAAAGGATGGGGACAAGCAGCCAAAGCCTAAATTCCTTCCCATGCCACACTGAAGAGGACGCTGGCCCCATCTGGCTCCAAAGTGAAGGCTTAGGGATTTAAAAATGGGTTCAGAAAGCAAGGTAGAGAGAAAAAGTTTTAAGGGGGGAAATTCTGGTGTTGAATAAGGGGCTGAGGTTTGAACCTGTAGGATTTTTTTACTTCATCGGGCGAGGCGCCCTTCTTAAGCTCCAGCACTGCATAGAGGCTTTTCCCACTTCTGGACAGCTGGCGGGATGCTTCATCCACATGAGACATGATCTGGGCCAGAGCAGAAGCATTTGTGAGAATTTCCATAAGTGAGGCTCTGAGGAAGTGAGCTTTCAGTGACAGGGAACTTGTCTTCATGGGCTAGGCAGGTAACTGACTACAAAGGACAAGTATAAGACAATAGTGAGTGGGATCTGTGACTAGCAGGAGCGTGCAGGGGCCCAGAAAAGGCACTCAAATGCAAATTTTAAAGAGGAAACACCCTCATTTCTCAGTATCCTTTAGCTACACAGACATCCTGACGTCCTACGTCCTAGAGAGGTGTACACAAGAAGAAGACTGAGTTCTGGGAAGAGACTGATTTTGTCCAGAGCTCCTAGTGCCTTAAGTTAACAGCCCTGGGCTTCTCCAAGCTCACTGCTGGGTTTAAAAGACTAGGGCGGCGCCAGCTCCTGAACAGACTGGGTCAGGAATTGGGAAGATCCACTATTACCAAGGAAGAAACAATTCAGACCAAGCCCTGTACTGTCTAAGCAGAGTCGGGGGCACAAAAGTCAGGCCAGAGGGCAGCGCTTGCAGCTAGGTCAGGAGACTTTCTTCTTCCCCGTAGCCTCCTGGCTCTCAAACCATGGGCGTCCCACCTCTGTCCCTCAAAGAAGAGGCAGTGGGGAGAAGAGATGGATGACTCCTGGGCTTAAGAAGGAAGTGGAAAAGGGCTGCTGTGCGGTGTGCAGACGCAGCACCAGGGAGCAGGACCCCAGAGTGGGGGAGTGTCTTGGGAGGCCTGCGGCCCAGGAGAACCAAGGCAACAGGCTCAGAAGGGATGCTCTGGATTCTCAGCTTCCCCCTGGCTCTGTAGCCACAAGGCTGCCGACTCCCCACGTGGACTTGGCCCTTTACCTCACAGTTCCTCTCTTCAGCAGAGTAGGCCTCACACACCCTCCACCCTCTCAGGTGTGAAATTTCACACAGCCGGCCCAGCGGCCATCTGCGCGTGCGCGCTGCGCCAGACTACGCCCTGACGCCCCGACGCCCCGACGCTCCGACGCTCTGACTATGACCCGGGTTGCTTTTGGTGCCTGCGGAAGGGCTGGGAGGTGACGCGACGTAGTCCCTGGGACTTAATTCCCTTGCGTGAAGCCTGAGCGGAGGGATCTGTCGGTGCCAGAAGCTGAGGGCCGCTGACCATTTGTCTTTTCTAGCCTCTTTGACTGGCGCAGCCTTGAGGGGCATCCCTTTTACTCCAGTGGGACGACATCACCCGTCCAAATCGCAGTCACGGCTCATCCGCTCATTTGAGGAAAGATAATGAGCTTGCAGACTGTGGCCAAGGGGAGAGGCATGGCTACCGCAAACCATTCTCAAGCGGTGTATTACTTTCCCAGTCTTCTTTTTCAGAATTTAGGGGTTTCCGCTTGATCCTCTCTTTCTCTTCCTCCTGGAGCCTCCTACACATCCTTCAAGACCAGCCTCAAATGTCAGTATTTCTGGGAATCCTTTCTTCCTTCCCCCAGTTACTCCCACCTTGTTTTGTCAAAGTGTTATGGTATTATATTGTAATTATTAGTTTGCACATCCTTTTAAAATTATATTTTGATCATTTCCAAAAGTCACTACTGTTCTTTAAAAACTTCGTTTAAATACTGTTCCATCATGAGGCTGTGCCATAATTTAATTATATAATCCAGTTTGGATGGTTAAATGGTTTGTAACTATTTGATAGTACAAATAACCTTACAATGAAAATTGTTATACATAAATCTTTGAATAAATCTGATTTTTCCCCCCTTAGGAATTTGGGAAGTTATTGGGCTAAAGTGAAATTTTTTTTTTCTTTTTCAAAAAGGTAGACATTTTATTTTGGAACAGTTTTAGATGTGCAGAAAAGTTGCAAAGACAGTACAGAAAATTCCTGTATGCTCTTCATCCAGTTTCCCCCAATAGTATCATTTTACATAACCATGGTACTTTGGTCAACACTAAGAAATTAACATGACTATCAACTAAACTCCTGGCTTCATTTGGGTTTCACCAGTTTTTCCACTATTGTCTATTTTTCTGTTCCCAGATCCAATCCAGGATACCACATTGCATATAGTCTAGCACCTTTTTGACCCCTCAGCATTTACGCTTCCATGAATTTATTTAGCACACAGATATAAAAGCAGGCACAGGGGGCCAAGCATTTTTTGCATAAGGTAGTTTGCCTACACATATGCATAGGGCATCAAAGAAATTCTTAGGAAACTGGGTAGCCATCCTTGTCCCTGGCACAGATGTCAGCCAAGCCTTTTGCATTTTTCAATGCCTGTCCTATGGAGCATCCTGGTACAGGTCCTATGTCTCCATGGAAGCCTCTATCCAAATTAAATTCTTTAAGCAAAACAGGACCTGGAATACAGCATTTATAAATTACCTGTGAGGTCCTGTAAACATCAGATTGCTTTTTTTAAAATTTATAAAGTGAAATTTTTGAGGCTCTTAATCCATATTGCTTTCTTCCTAGAAAGGTACCAAAATGCTGGTTTACATCCCCACCTGCAGGGCCTGAGAGCACCTTTCTCTGCCTGGCTTTACTTCCTGATCCCCCACAGGAGAAGGTATCTGTACCACTTAAAATTTACCACCTTGTGGTGTTGGTTTTCTTTACAGAACACTGAATGGCTTCCATTACATGTAATCAAAAGAGTTTAATTATTTCAATAATACTTCTCTGTTACCTCTCTTACTGTTCTTATTACTCTCTTCTCTTTTTAACAGTTATTTGTGCACAGTTACCTCCCCTTCTAGGTTTTAAAGTGGTAAATCAACATTCCACCCCAAGAGGAGTGAGCCAACTAACTAAACTAAGGAGTTCATATGCAGCAGGCACAATGACCACTGAATTAATAGATTGTTTTTCTGAATTTATTCCTATAGGAATAAATCAGTGTGTGTGGGAGGGGGTGGTGGTGGTGGTTGGAGGTAGAATGAAAACCTTTGGCTCTTCACACCCAGTTCGTAGGTTCTGGGTCAGATGAGTTTCGATGAGAAGAAGCTGAAGCTGACAGTATTTTTGGTTTGTATATGGCAGATTTCTGTAACTAACCTCCAACCTTTCACTGCCTTCATGGGATGATAGAGCTACCAAAACAACCCAGCTCATTTCTTTGGTATTGCTGGGAAGAGAAAGCAGAAGGTATTAGAAGTGCAGTGCACTTACAATGAATTCCTTATCTCAGTATACAAGGCCCAACATGGTCCAGTTCCTGCCTCTCACTGCAGCTTCATCATGTACCACTGTCCTGCTTACTCTCTACTCTGCCCCACTACTTTCTTATAAGTGCTTTGAAGACACTGTGTTCCCACCCACACCAAGGGCCTTTGACCATGCTGTTCCCTCTACCTGGAGGAATCCTCCTCAGGCTCTTCAAATGGCTGATGAAATAGAGTGTCATAGTCATACCACGTGTAACTTCATGACAGAGGAGGATAATCATCATCAGCATTAGCCCAAACCTAATTCCTGTGAGGCGGAGATCAGACATACCTCCACTCTCCAACCTTTTTACCAATTCTGACACCAGCTGTCCCTCCCACGGCACTCTCTACTTCTCTGCTGGGTTCAGTAATTCGTTCCAATGGCCACACAGAACTCACAGAGCATACTCATGATTATGGGGTTTATTAAGGAAGTAATCGGTTACAATTCAGGATCAGGATCAACTGGGAAGTAACAGGAACAACTCAGGAGACGGGGTATAGTTCATCAGGACAGCTTAACCTCAGCTTCTTCTCCGCTGTGCCCTCAGGCAGACAGGCCTTTGCCCTGCTCAGGCAAGTGTTACAGTTCTTTAGCTCTGCTGGCACGTGCCTGGAGGCACCCCACTCCTCCAGCAAGCCTCCTGCCCAAAGGTGCTCAGCTCTCTTGACCCAGTCGGTGAGCCCACTGTAGCCACCTTGTGCCATGGGCCAGGAAACCCTCTGCAGCTGCCTCGCTCTGGTCTCCTGGTTCTTGCCATGTGCTATCTTGCTCCGTCTCGTGCGGTCTTATGGCACGTCCAGTGTTACAGCTCTCTGTCTCCTGGTCTAGGAAGTTCTCAGCATAGGGATCCCAGGTTTAAAGGATGTGCTCCACTCCTGGCTCTTTTTTTTTTTTTTTTTTTTTACTTTAGATGAAGGTTTACAGAACAAGCTAGCTTCTCATTGTAACAGTTAGTACACATTGTTTTATGACATTGGTTAACAACCTCATGACATGTCAACACTCTCCCTTCTCAAACTTGGGTTCCCTATTACTAGCTTTCCTGTCCCCTTCTGCCTTCTAGTCCTTGCCCCTGGGCTGATGTGCCCTTTTAGTCTCATTTCATGGCTCTTTTGATGTCAGTAAGGTCCCCCTCAACCTCTGTGAGATCCGCCTTATAAGTCTAGCAGGATGGTAAAACTGACCAATCCCCTTGGTAGGCCACAAACACCTTATCTGCATAGTCTCAGCCAATTATTTTGTGGGAGTTACAAGACTATGGCTAGAAAGGCCATATAAAAAGACAAACCCATTACCCTGCAGCTGACTTCTCATCCTTGGGGATCTCAGCTTCATGTCCCCTCCTCAGAGATGCCTTCTAAACTGGGTTCCACCCCCCCATAATACCCTTGCAATGGTTTTGAACATATATTTATTTGTATGCTAATTTGTTTAATGTCTGCTTTCTCCAGTAGACTGTGAGCTCCATGAGGGCAGGAACCTTGTTTGTTTCGATCATCATTGTATCCTCAGCACCTAGAACCATGCCTGGCTCACAGTAAGTGAATAAATGAATTGTCAAATGACTTACAGAAGAGGGAGCCCTCCGCTGGTCCAATGTACGCCTAGGGGTTAGGCCATAGCAAGAATTCATTGGGACAGAAGCACTTAGCTGGGGAATTGGACAGGACTGTCTTGCTTGTTGAAAGTGAAGATGACTTGAAGCACTTACTGATGAAGGTCAAAGACTACAGCTTTCAACATAGATTACACCTGAACATAAAATGAAAATCCTTACAACTGGTTTGATAAACAACATCATGAT